GTGGAATGACAAAGACCCTCGACCCTCTCAGGGAGTATAAAAGGGGGTGGAATGACAAAGACCCTCGACCCTCTTAGGGAGTATAGGGAGTATATAAGAGGGTGGCGTGACCAAGACCCTCGACCCTCTCAGGGAGTATACAAGAGGGTGGAATGACAAACACCCTCGACCATCTTAGGGAGTACATCGGCCCCCTCTCTTATACCGGAATACGAGGGTACCCACAGCTATACTTCCCGCGGCTCGAGTCCGTGCCGTCTATAACGTCGGAGACCCCTCTTTAAAGGTACCCTCTCATGTCGGAGACACGACTTCGGCATTTTTTGTCAAAAACACAAGACACACCCCCCAAGACCAGATGATGTCATGGGCGAGTGCTGATTTCAAGTTATAGAAAAAGGCCAAGCATGCCTATGGGATGTCGGGTTGATAAGACTGCACATTCACTCATGCTGCGGGACAGATGAAAAACAAAGCGACAGAGCTGTGGAGATCACCTTCATAAAGGCTACAATCTCCCAACGTCTGTCTAGGAAGATTCCCTCTCTTCGCAAAGTCACCCAAAGAGAAGAGAAAACACACAGACGCCAACAAAACACTATCACCGTCCAACCCAACAAAAAACTCTAGAGCAGATACTTCGGTTTCTTTTTGTGTTACCCGTCCAGACACGGAAGGCGTCCGCGTCAGTCAGACCGGGACAAATGTCAGGAAATACAGTTAGCGCCCGCGTTTAAGAAACGCCAATTTGGGACCGAGGCTCAATTTCTTCGTTCGTCGCCACCGTCGAGCATAGGTCATTGAATAGAGTATAATGTAGGATCCACGGCTGAGGTGTGTTTCCTAGTCGATTTTTCTTACTTATCGCCAAAACAATGAGCCTTTGTTTCTTAAAGTACTGTTTCTTAATCGCGGGCGCTAACTGTACTGAGAAACAACAACAACAACAACAACAACAACAACAACAACAACAACAACAATAATAACAAAACGATAACGACAACGATAACGATAACGATAACGACTACAACACACCTAGCGTCGCCTCGGACTTGCCCCCCTGGTACATGATCGCCGTGTCGATCTGGTCGAAGCCGCGGGCAGCGAAGTAGTCGAGGGCCTCTCGCGTGGCCTCAGCGTCGAGCGGCGCAGGGATCGACATGGTGCCCAGGACGGTTGCGACGCGGGTTGCTGTTGCTGATGTTGCGTGATGAGCCACAGCAGAAACATGGAACAATGTGTGGTAGGGTGGGGCGAGAGAGGAGCAGGCGCTGTGTTGTACGAGAGCACACAAAATACAACAAGCAGGTTCACTTTGCTGTGTCCGTCGCAGCTCTACCCAGTCGACCAGAGTCGTGCATGAACTACCTTTGTACCCAAGGGGCACGTTTCTCGTTTATCCCGCTACATGTTTTTCAGAAAAGCAACAGGGGTGTGTGGGGTGCGATGGACGCGTTAGGCAGTTTTTCGGCAAATCGTCTCGTAGAAGGCGGACCGTTGGTGGTATCGGCCAACACGATGGCGCTACATTGTGTGAACACTTCTTCCAACTCAACACAATGAGGTTCTCTCACACGCAGCGTCGTTGGCCATTTTCCGCACAACTCCACCGCGAGATGCAGCAGCAGCAGCAGCAGCAGCAGCAGTATTTGTGGCGGCCATTCTCAAAGCAGACGCCGTGGTGCCTGCTTGGCAGGGGGGGGGGGGACTGNGGGGTACTGTGCATGAAACGGCCGCAACATATCGAGGAGCGAACCGCAGAGAACCACGTGAAAGTCACCAAGCAAGAAACAGAGGGGGTGTACTCATAGTCGAGGGCAAGAAAAGGGAGGGAGAAGGCAGACAGTGCGAACGAAAAAGAACAACAACAACAACAAGATGGAGTAGAAGGAAAAACACGGGGAGGAATGGGGAGGAACGGGGAGGTTAGGTTTCGTGGGTCGGTCGTTCATCGTACACACACACAGCAACACCCGCGGACGAACCTTAGCGTCCTTTGAGAGAGCAACAATCTCTGCTTAGTGTCATTGTCGACAAGACGACGGCAGTGGTATCGGGAGACCGCAGGCCATCCAAGCGCGATTTGGCCCTCCCGGCGTGCTTAGGTACATATGGTATACATACTAGAGGGACACAGACAAGGTGTGGGCCTTCCGACTACCGCGACCGAAATGCAGACCATGGAACAACATCCTCGTACACATCTTGATATACACCGCGGTGTTGTCGTTGTTGTTGTTGTTGTTGTTGTTGTTGTTGTTGCTGTTGTTTTCACAAAAAAAAATCCAATCTCTCTACCCGGTGCCTTCATCTGCCCGTCCTAATCAAGCACTTGACCGGTCGATTCCCGTGGTCACAGGCTAACATACCCTAACATAGCTTAATCACTACTTGTGACAGGCAAAAAAATGGACACGTGACAGGCAAAACACAACTGCGCTGTTATATGTATCGGGACACCGCACTATTGAGTGTTGCGTAATATCCAGCATAATGGTGACAAATCCCGTGACAAGCGAATTCTTACCGCGGTGTTTCTGAACCCACCCGCACTAGTCGGACCGCGGTATGTACATCGGGACTACCGCTACTGCATGGATAAGCATACACATCGCGATAGTAGGCAACAACATCGTCTAACGTGGAATCTTGAAGCCAGCGGGTGAGATGAACTCTCAAACCATCATGTTTGGAGTCGAATCCTCGGTACGTCAGCAAGAGAGCAATTGAAAAGGAAGGTGGACACGCAAAAAGATGAAAATATTGCACACATGGGTGGGACAGAGTATAACCCGTAGATGTGTACAATGATCCGATTACTGGATAACATACCGAAGACCATTCCGGTAATACTCCTTAGGTGAGTATATACGTGCTGTTCGTTTTCAGCAGTACTGACATTGAGTATTCCAACACTGACGAGATCCCACAGATCGTGCCAACTCGTTCAAAGGGTGTGTTAACTTGTGGTTGGTGCCGGTAGCTCCATAGGGTAGGTACATACAGTGTCCTATGCTTGCTCCATGGTGGTGAAGGACATACGTGATCTGTGTATGTTCTTGTTTGCCCGGCGTGATCTGAAAGGGCGTATTATAGTATAATAGTAATCGCGTTATGCTTGCCCGAGTTGATCTGAAAGCCCAGGTGATTGGGCTGTGTTTGCCCGACTTGATCTGAAAGAATCGGCGATTGGGCTACGTTTGCCCGAGTTGATCTGAAGGACACAAGTGGTTGGGCCATGTTGACCCGAGTTGATCCGAAAGACGCACATGTCTACCCCGAGTTGATCTGAAAGAATCGGTAGGTGGGCTGTGTTTGCCCGCGTTGATCCAGAAAAGCATCAGCGATGTCCTAGTCATGTTTGTCTTGCTGTATGCAGAAGTTGATCTGAAAGACATTATCCAAGGGATCGGGGTATGCCCTGTTGTTGGCCATCTGAAGGAAAAAGGTGACCGGGGTATTTTTACTCGATCATGGTGATCTGTAAGGCATAGGCGGGCTAGCTCATGATCTGTCCCATGCGTGAAGATTCCGATTGCACTCGCGACTGCACGCACGAGCGGAAATGGTCTGCCAAAACCCCGCAGCAGCAACAGCGGCAGCATACAGTTGCACATGAAGCCATCCACAAACTCTTGAAGCTCACGAATGAATGACACGTTGCACGGGCTTCGAGCACATAATATTTTTCCCCCAGCGGCCAGCAACACCACGTCGCAACGCGATACGCACACATCGATATAACGGTTCGGTATGAGACAGCAGCGGCTGCTGTATGTAGCGCTGTTGTTTAGAACATGATGATGCGGCGGGTCTTGTGTCTTGTGGAACAGGGCAACGAATCTCGCTCTTGGTTGAAAATGCTCATCCAAACTCACTCGAAGCCGCAATTAGGAAAGCCAGTGTCCCGATCCTCCCGGTACTAGCAGAGAGAAGTCTCCCGGGGGCAAGAGATACCATGCGACTCCCAACGCCTGGGGTTGGCGCTGCCTGCTCTGCACAGCCAGGCGGCCTTGGCTCCGCTGCGGGTTCAAATGAAAGATGACGGGTGTATCCCATACTTTCAGCGCTACAGTATGCGGAGACCCTCAAGCGTTGTGTGTGTCACATGCTGCTGGTGTGCGAGGCAACTCTAAAGAACAGCCGAACCAAACTACGTTGTTTTCGCTGCTGTCACGGAACCATGCCTCCAGGTAAGCTTCCGCTGGCGACGGTGTCCTGACCGTGACGTGCCTGGTTTATTTTCCGCGTGGCTACCACACGGGACGATGCGTTGCTTCGGCGATCCCGTCTCGCGCTACATATGTTAGTGCTGTGCCTGCCTCTATTTTGCGACCTTTCGCTCTTGCTCCCTGTTGAACGAACATCCCATTCCCCTGCTATAGGCAGGCAGCAGCCACGAGTTTATCCCCCTCCACGTTTTACTATCCACGGCTCGATTCATCTCCGCCCACCCCCAGACGTGATGGGATGCTCCCCGCTTCTCGGGTATATACGTGTTCCTACTGCTATGTCCTCGTTCCATATGCGTACCGTATATGACACAAGATAACACACCCCCTTGACCGATTTTCGAAGCTCGATTTCTCAACTACAGGAACAGTCACAGTGCCGAAAACGGCGGCGTTGAAACCGTCTCGCCGAGAGCTTTTCGAAAATGNCGGTACTCGTGTACTTGTACCGCCGCTAGTGTAGGCTTTGCATTGTCAGGTACTGCTCAGCTGTATGGGTAAGATACCTCCCCTGTGGCCATTTTTAAAAGCTCGATTACTCCACGACGGTGAGGATGAACAAATCGAAAGATTTATGCATGCGTTGCCGAAAAACTCTCGTCGGCGTCATTCGCAAGCGCCGCTGCAGTTGTAACACAGCAGCAGTACTCGAGCGTTGAAAATCGGTTCCGGGGGGGGGTGTACTCATAGTCGTGCATGCCGTAGTCGTTAGACCATTGACCTCGCATCCCTACAAAGCCGGGACGGAGCACGCCGGGTTCTCACCGGACCAGGCTCTCACATCACCAAGCGCGAAGCGCCGTGAGATATTCGGCGAGTCGCATGAAGGGTGCGCTGCATCCTGCGAAGGGTGTTCGGCATCTTGTGCTTACTTCCTTGCGTACGGATGACAGCTGCGTATGAATTAATTTACTTTGTGGTGCTTTCACTTCCAGAGACACTTGTAAGCACTGTGTAACTGCCTCGAGGGTGCTTGACCATTTTGACACAACGTGGTGCGATCATCCCCCTTGCGCGGAGTGAGGGTTCTCCACCCCGCACAACATGATCTACTCGACCACCATTATGGTTACCGCAAAAAAAAAACCGGAGGTAAAAAAAAAAACGGTAACCTGGTTGCCGAGTTCACGAAGTGAATTGGCTTGTTTTACAACGTCGTTGCCAAGCGACGAAACCCAATCCCGATGGCAAACACCGGGGGGGAGTGGTATCTTCAGCAAATGTGGTACAACTGGTTGCATATGCAGGAACGACAATGTGGGGTGTGCTGAACACCGAAAACAGCTCACTCGTACTTAACGCACCGCTGTGCCCTCGCAAGTATCCTTTGCTGCTGCGGACAAATTCTACAGCAGTAGAACACCTGGTATGCACATCATGGGTAACTTTGCCTTTCCGTCCATGCGCATCACAAACTGCAAATCTCGCGCTTGGAGGCCTCAAGGTGGCCTTGATTGGCGGATGTTAACGTTGCGTCTTGTAGGAGATCAATCAACTACACAAGTACCAGATGGTGTGTGACTGAAGCACAGCAGTCCCGTGTACTTGGTCTGCAGAGAGAAAAAATAGCAAATGCACAAGAGAGTCTTCGCCTCGTTTCTGTGTTATCCTTCCGCCGTGATGATTTGTTGCCTGTGTACCGTAAGGTTGCAAGTCAGCGCGCAGGGGTGCGATCGATATTCAAAGGGTAATTTCTCCGCAACCAGGAGGTTGCAAGCGCCAACTGATCATTATCAGGAAAACTCTCTTGTGAGATTTTTCCAAAACCGCCCTTTCCGACAGTGGTAACCTCCTGGTAATGGAGAAATCACGCTTTTGAAAATCAATCGCACCCCTGTCCCTGTGCTCTAGCTGACTCGCAACCTTTCGGGATATATCACCTACGCGAGAGTGTGCAACACATGCGAACTTTGGGAGCGTTTTTTTCAAGGGCCAGTTGTCGAGGAGAGGCAAAAATAAAAGTCGGATGAATCCAAAACGTAAATTAAGTTTGCATGGGTGTTTCGGAATTCGCCTTGGAAGCGTCTTGCAATTACTCTGCTTCTACTCAGCTGGTTGGTCGCTGCATGAAGGTATCGTACATCGTACACAACAAGTGCTTATCGACGCCTGAAAATTATGGTAGTGTAGCGCGCTGGTGCTGTCGATTTCGATACATAGGTGTGGGCTTTTGACAGTTGCGGACAAGCAGTATTTAGCGTGCGTGCGCGCGTTCAGATATATCATTGGTCTTGCAGAAGGCCCCAGAAAAAAACTTTTCGATGTCGTCCATCATTCGTACCGCAAGCAACAAACGAGCGCGCACGTGTGCGCGCGACTGGTTACAGAAGGCGAGACTTTCGAACACAACGCTTGCGCACAGGGGAAGCGAATTGTGGCCACGACCACGCACGGTGTTAGAAGAAACTCTTAACAACATCTACCCGGATCAGCCTCGCGCCAGTACACATCGAAGTCACACCGTTGCATCTGTTTTTTTTTCGAGGAGATTTGCACGGCCGGCGCCCCCACGTTGAGGCGTGCTCCTCCGCCTGCCCCGAAGCCGAACATACGCCGGACGTGAGCGATGCCGACACGGTAGTAGCACTATTCCGCCGGGGAAAACTGGAGGCAGAGACGGCTACCCTCCCAGACAGCAGGCACAGGAAGCGAGGTCAATGGTCTAGCGACAACGGCATGCGTTGACATGAGTACCCAGAGCCCCCCTTAACCCTACCGTAGGTTGCATGAGATATCACACACCCCGGCCCGAGTTTCAAGGCTCGGTTGCTCGGCAGGCAGCAGGCAGTGACGGTGCCTCAAAGGGTAGCGTTGGAACCGTCTCTTCGAGAGCTTTCCGACAGATGTATCCTTTGACTACAGCATATGCTCCGTCGCGGAGTACTGGAGCGTTGAAAATCGCCCCAGGGGGTATGGTTTCTTGTGCAACCTACCGTACCCCACGTGGGCGGGAGGATTTTGAGTGAGCTGGTGAGGGTGGAACCACGGGAGACATCCCCTCGGTATGAACCGTATGTGACGCAAGATAACCCACCTCCTGGAGCAACTTTCAATGCTCGATTACGCCATGACGAAGAGGATTCATGAATGAAACCGTACATTTTGGGAAAGCTCTCGACGAGACAGCTTCAGCGCCACCGTTTTCGGCGCCGTGACCCTTTCTGTTACTGAGAAATCGAGATCGAAAATCGGTCCAGGGGGTGTTTGATCTTGTGTCATTTACGGTAACGCTTCATTCAACAGCAGCAGTGTCTAGGGGAAGAAAGGCAGACCTCCGACGTTTCGGGGAAGATTTATTTCGAAAGTCACGCCTTCTTTCTCCTATTCAACCCCCTCGCCCCCCCCCCCCCCCCCCCCCCCCCCCCCCCCCCCCCCCCCCCCCCCCCCCCCCCCCCCCCCCCCCCCCCCCCCCCCCCCCCCCCCCCCCCCCCCCC